TTAGTGCATTAGCTCCGGAGAGGGCCGATGAGACAGATGCGTACGCGTTGGAAAGCATCTTTGTGGAAGAGTTGAAAGTAGGTGCTGGGGATGAGGGCACCAGAGATTTCCATGTTTCTCTCTTGCTTTTGGCGGCTGCGATCTCTATTTGCTTCCTAACTCTGGTCTTCTCCTGATCAACTGGTCCTGAGCAAGGACCATTTTCAGGTGCTTCAAGGAATTCTTCAAAACGTCCTTGTAGCGTTGGACCTGGCTTTTTAGTGAGCGAGCACACTCAGCCTCACTTCTCCATAGAAGTCGTGTTTTCATAGTCACTCTTCATCCATCTGCAGCAGGTGACCGTTGCAGCGTAGTTGTACTTGCTTCAATATGGCGTGGATGCTGAGGATACCGGTTCGTTGTAGAACTTCGGTAGACGGGAGTTTGTCCGGCCACCCCGGCTGGAGTGAAAGTGATCTCGTCGGTCCGTATTTCCACAATGTCCTCAAAAGGACAGCTTTGTACATCTTGAGCCCAGTATTGAGACAGAAACCGCGGCAATTCCACATGGAGTTCTACAGTCTGTCAACGGGTTGGCTGTCTAAACACCACAGGCCCTTCTTGAAGAACGGTCAGATAAAATTTAGCCCTGTTACAGACTGGGCTCTGCCTTGCTGATCAGTATATTGCAGTTCAACTTCCGTCTTTGATAAATTCTTCTTAGCCGATAAAGCCCTTTCCGTTCTGTTGTCTTAGAACGCCCAACAAATTGGCTTAAAGTTATCGGAGAACAGTTGAATCCAGACTGTCTTACCAGATAGGTTGAAAATAAAGGATTTATCTTAGACTTGCCGAGGCGACAGACAATGCTACTTCGAAAAAATATGTTTGACAACACAACCAAATTGCTTCGTACTCGGCATCAACCAGGATGGGTACATCCTGAAAAACATTTCGGTGTACAATCAACTACTATATACTCCCGATCAACAACCGGTAAGACAGCGGACTCGTGGCTCAATGGTTAGGACGTTTGCCTCTGACTGACGAGACACGAGTTCGAAACTCGAGTGTGGCAGCAATTTCAGCGGCTACACTAGAGCTGGCTACCCATAGCTGATGACTGCCAATA